TTAATTACAACGTTATTAAGATTGTAAGTTTACTTATTTCACTTGTTTATTGAAAATAACTACATCATCTGAATATTGTATCAACTTTAACCAACAAGGAAAATATATTTTAAACTGCAAAATTTAAAAAAAAACATCACTGAAGACCTATTATATTCTATAGTCTACTATCGTAAATGTTCAAGAATTGATCGTATAATTTACTCAGATCTTTAGAGTAATTAATTATGCCCAAAGTATTTTATGTTTATTTCACTTTCATTCAATATTATTAGATATAAGCACCACATTCCTTAGAATCTAAAACTGCAAAAGCAAATACAAAATACCGTTTTGGTTAATTACATTTCCACGGGCCAGACGACATGCATCGAACAGATGCAGTACGGAAATAAAACCGGCGTTTTTTCCACGTGACAATTGTACTAGACGAGCTAGCCCGAATGTTTCTATTTTAATTGTATCATGGCGTAAATGTAATTAAAGATAAATAACAATTTGCGGTTGACTCACCCAGTTAACACGACGTGACGTAAATGCGCGTGCGCTCGAGGGCGGGCGGCCGGCGACTGGGCGGGCGGAGGCGATACTAGCGCTCGCGCACGCTGCCTCTGCATTTGACGTGACGAACACGTAACGAGGTCGTATCGTATATGTATGTCACAGTGAAAACGTAAATATCGTTTGTTTGTAATAATACTAACTATAATAATGTATTCATAACAAATCGCCATTTCTCGAAAATTTTACCGATTATGGTCTACAAGTTAAATGAGAAATCCTACGTAAATTATGATTTTTTAGATATTACCTATCTAAAAAGAAACAAGATCATCAATAGGCATATTTAAAAAAGGGAATATTGGTTTGATTTGCATGATACGTAAAACTTTAAAGGGATAGTTCATAGTTTGATTGATTTTTTTTTTATAACAGAAGGGGGCAAACGAGCAGCGGGAACACCGAGGTGTTCAACGACGCCCATGGACATCAGCAATACCAGAGGAACCGCAGATGCGTTGCCGGCCTTTGAGGTGGTGATAAGCTCGCTTCTTGAAGGACCCTAAGTCGTAGCGGTTTGGAAATACCGCCGAGGACAGACCATTCCACAACGCTGCTGTGCGAGGCAGGAAGTAAATTGATTTTTGATTGACTGACTATATTTACAACTTAAATGTCTCATATAGAAATCAAAATGTGTACCACGGTAATTGCTTGAGGAACACACGTTTTATGCTACAAAAAATGCAAACACAATTTAACTGCAAAAGGTGTCACTAGCTTACTATCACATGTTATTAACCTAAAATAATTAGGTGGCGTAGAAACTAATAATACCTTTTAATCTAGATTTTCATTTCATAATTCCAAGAATTTGAAACATACTAAATTTACGGAACTCTGTTATTCACGTAACCCGGTTGTTTAATTCTCAGATTCTAGATAATATTGACCATTTTAAACAACTATTTAGCTTATCCTGTTCCTTGTTTATTTGGATCGAAGTTTCATAGTAATGACAATATAATTCACGTCATCATCAGCTCACTATACAACCCCACTGAGGGGCTCAGAGCCTACCCTAAGTCATGGGTGACTAGGCCATAGCCAAACACGCTGGCCCAGTGCGAGTTGGTTGACTTCACACATATCATTGAATTTCTTTTCTGATATGTGCAGGTTGCATCAGATGTTTTCCTTCATCGTAAGAACGTCGTATAAATTTACATATGTAAATCGAAAATCGAAAAACAGATTGGTATTGGTGGCGGGATTCGAACTCAGGCCCTGCAGATTGCAAGTCAAGTGCTTGACCCCTCAGCCACCGATCTCGCCTCGACGCCGAATTCACATCATTTTATAGTTTTTAAATGTCGGCCTTCCAACAGGTTAACGCATCATGGAACATCTAAAAGATCTCCCATGTTCAGGGTTAGGGTGAGTACACTGTTTGAGATTAAAACGCAGAGGATATGTATAACGATCAATAGAGGCAACGCCTGTTTTATAGTGATAAACTGGTAGGGACCAGTCCTAAAAACAGCACTGCTCTGGTCTAGATTTCTAAAGCGCCCAACTTTTTACCATGACTGAGGGGTGGTCACAGTCAACGGAGGACTATGTATTTCGCATTCCTTTGGCGCTTCTTTCTGTCGAGTGCCCTGGGCGGTTACCCAACAGCGTCCTACCCTAACGCTTGCTGTCTTTGGGCCGAAGATTATTATTATTATTAAGATACGTCCATATTATTATTTAAATGCAAGCTGTGGCCTTCATCCGCATGCTAATGAAACTGAGTTGTGAAAAATTTACCAAATATATGTTCTCATAGATAGTAAATTAATTCTGTGCCTGATCAAGATCCGCTCAGCCGTTCTAGAGTTATGTGTTAACAAACATCCATCCATCCAAACTTTTTCGCTTATAATATTAGTAAAATGTACTTGAATAAATTAGAATTGCCTACTAAATTATTAGATTCATTCGTATTGCATTTCGAAATAAGATATTTTAGAATTTTAGAGCTTAGCAAAACAAAGAACTCAAAGTCCATTGAAGAAGAAATAAAAAGCCTGGTTGTTTTTGAACTTTTATTGTTTTTTTTTGTTTGTTTAACATAAATAGCATTTATTTTTAATTATTACAAGTTACAATTATAAACGCACAATTTTCATTGCACAATTAATAAATAATTAACATAAAATATTTTATTTATTTTTATCTACTGCACTTAATAGAGTGCATCTTGTCATTGTATACTAAAGCGCCAGTAAACTTAAATTAGACATTGAAAAAAAAAGCATTATCGGTTTTTGGTTCTTTATTTAATTGTTTTTCGGAGTTACATTAGAAAAAATCGGCAAGGGACGAGCAGTCGGCTGCCGGCTGAAATAGTGTTGAGACACGGCATTATTAGGGCGAGTCGTCAGCCGAGCGCGCGTCCCTGACCGCGGCTTTGGTCAATGGACAGCGCTAGTGGGCAAGAAATGCCTACTAACGCCATCTACCGTGTAACTCAAACATCACTTAACGAACGACTAGGCTTATACCCGACCGGAATTGCGCCCCTATACGATTGGTGGAGAGAAATGCTGGTGCGGCGGGGCGGTGCTTGGGTGTCTCACTCTGTGCTGAGGGCACGGGATTCCTGCACCAGGTAGACCTGGGAGCCGGGCACCGTGGAGGTGGTGACGAAGGTGCGGTGCTTGGCGCGGATGAGAGACAGATTGCTCTCAGCGACGTCGGCGCGGTCCTCGGCCGCCTCCAGCTCGCGTTGGAATCGTCGAACTCTAGTCACGCTCTGTTGGGAGACGCCCTCCTGCAAGAATTATGAAGAACAGTTATTACATAGTTTAAAAAATCACTGATAGATTTAGGTCCAACTATGAAAGTCTTACCTGTTCTGTCAACTGCCTCTTGTAAATGTTAACTTTCTGGGTAGTTTTCTCCAAAGAGTCTTGGAGAAGAGCGATGTTCTTCTGGTCTTCTTCGCATTGGATCATGACCTCTTTGACTTGGCGTTCCTTCTTGCGGAGGATCTTGATGGTTTCAGCGTGTCTCCTCTTTTCCTCGTCCATCTCGAGCTCCAAGTCCTTGATGCGAGCTTCCAGTTTGCTGATGATACGCTTGCCACCAACAATGGCATTGGCTTCTACTTCCTCCAAGCGGACGGAAATATTCTGTAAGGAAATTACTAAAAATGTCAAACGGTTCAAAATCATTATCAGATTGTATTGTAGACGGAACTTTAGTCTTTGTGTAGATAATAAGAGACGTTTTAAAACGAAATTATTGCAAAAGTTTCGGGCAACTGAAAAAATAATTAAAACCCCTTTTTACCTTGACTTCGATTTCGAGAGACTTCTTGATCGCTTCGATCTTGACGATCCTCTCCTGTTCCTCGTGAAGATGCTCAACGGTGTGCTTCAGTTCAGTCTGGAATGATTATAAAATAACAATAAATACTTAGCAAATATAGATCGAAATATGTGTTGAATTGAAAATCAAATACACAGCTAACTGACTCCCTGTTATTAAAGTTTTTAATAGTGTAAAATTACCTTGTTTTATGTGATAATGCGCGGCCATAAACTAGTTTTATTAATTCATTATTAATATCCTCACCTGTACGCGTTGGTATCTCTCATCAGCGATGCGCAGTTCCTTTGTAATCTCGTCGTAGTCAGCGGCGACCGCTGCGAGCTCCTGCTCGATCTTAGCCTTGCTGCTCGACAGGTTGACGTTGATCACCGTCAGTTCGTTGATGCGGGTCTGAGCTTCCTCGTACGACAGTTCGATGGTGCGCTTAGCGCGAAGGGCCTGGTACATATTAAATAAGTTAAAGTGAATCCTCAGCCTATTACCCCATCTACATTTTAAAGGCGTTCATTCTACGTTATACAATTGAATCATACAGGAAAAATACTTCCTGCTGAATTTCATTCTTTGAAGCTGTTCATAATTTCGGGTTGTAAATGTACCTGCTCATAATTGCCTCTGATCTCTTCGATCTCGCCGGTGAGGGATTGTACTCTGCGTTGAGCAACGCCGTATTGGTCGAGGGTCACCTGGAGCTGCCTCTGGACCTCATCATAGTGAGACTGGATCTCAGTCAGCTGAAATTAGAATAAAATCTTTGTTGGAAAAGTCTCTTTTTTATAATTTTCAGAAATTAAAGTATACTTAAATGTACAAAGGTTTGTTTATTTAAACATTTACTTGCATCATTTATAACCAGAATAAACATTTGGAACGACGAAATATGTCAAATAATAGACGAATAGTTAAGAATGTATACCTGCAGAGACTGCTTCTTGATGGTCTTCTGCAAATCGATGTTGGTCTTGTTGGCAACATCGAGGGACAGCTCAAGCTCGGTGATCTGGATCTGCAGCTTCTTCTTGATGCGGGTCACCTCAGTCTTCAGCTTGGTCTCAGCTTCAACAACGCGAGCATTCAACTGCTCGATCTCGATGCTGGTCTGCTTGCTAAAGATAATAAACATCAATTTATCAATCGTATTACTAATTATTTAAAGCTAAAAGATACCACAAATTCAACAATCATTTCAGTATCCTATACCTCCGGTCCATTACAAAACTTGTGTTAATATTTTCGAATTGATTTATAGTTTCCTTTAACTCTATTAGTCTTTGACGGTATGATTCATCTATTGACGGTATATCCGTCTCAATTCTAACGACGCACACTTTCGGTGGGTTTTTGGCAAGTTGGATTGCTTTAGTAATTTGAGACAATTCGGCTTCATAATCGCCATTTTCTACTCGTCTAGATCGTATTGTATAATCATTATTATCGGTAAAATTTGAACGTAAATTAAAATTCTTCAGTCGAACTTCGGAAACATTATTTAAACCCTCACTAAGCAATGTTTGAGCAATAGCTTTAGCAGATTTCCCCTTATAAACTTTTGATTGTCCTTTAACTTTCGCCCCAACTGCACTTTCACTGAACGACTTATCAAGCAAAGCATTATCCGTAACGTATGTGTTTTGTCTTTCTAATTTAGTTCTCTTCTTTTTGGTTTTAACGACAACACTTTCAGTAGCTACGTGTTTAGATACATTCGTTGCAGCTGCAGTTGCTATTACTGAAAAAGGCGATCTTTTAGTTACATTAAAATTATTAAGATCTTTTTTCGCCTTCTCAGCAACCTCCTTTGAAATTCTTGAAAGATCTGCTTCGGAGTAGGTTTTGATGGGACCATCGTATCTGTATTTTTCCAAACCTCTTTCATTGTTCCAAGGCAGAGTTGGGGGCTTAGCAGCTACTCCTTGTTCTTTAGCTGCAATGTAGTCTATCATTGGCTGATAATAGTTTATCCCATAGCCGTAGTTGTTTTCATAAATGGAAGTTGGGGGACGATTCCATTTGTTCAAATTTGGAATATTAACTGGAGCCATTATAAGATTATCAAGTTTTAATGAGACACCAACGTTATACTAATGTGTTATTCAAATGAAGTCGTGTCCGAACTGTATGAAAATCGTTACTGTCTTTCCTTACAGTTTATTAGGAAGCTTGTGCCAAAGATTATACGTATTTTCCGATTATACTTGCCAATCAGAGACAGAGTTAAATATAGATTGATCTTATGCCAATACGTCTGATATGAATAAAGATGCATTACGTCCAGAGTAGAAAATGTATAAACTCAGCTTTGTCTGATCAAGCCAAATAAAACAATGTAGACGATGACGTAACATTTCACGTCCAGCGTCTCGTGCTATACATTGTTGTTGGTTATGACCAATTATATGTAATTAAAGAAATATTTAAAATAGCGCCAGAGACTTTGTAAAGTAAATGTAAAGTCCGTGAAACCTTAACCTATACCAAATTCAACTGTCTAATTGTGATTCCGATATTTCGAATACCTGTAATTGAGAAAATAGATACAATTATAGGTTGTCGTATTATAAATTTACCGAATAGCTTCGATTTCTTCCTCCTTCTCCTGAATGCGACGCTCGGCCTCGTGACGGAACTGGCCAAGTTCCGCGGTCAGCCTCTGCGCGCGTTGTTCCTCGGCTTTGCGGCCCTGCTCACGAAAAAGTCAAAATTAACAATAAAGGAATATTGTAACTTAGTATTCAATAACGATGATAATAATGCCCATAACAATAATCATTGTGAAACCGATAGAATATTATTATTATAGTTAGTACAAAAGTAAAAAAATAGTTGACCGCTTAAAATTGAGAATTAGGATATAAATTATGTTAAGCTATTAAATATGCAAATATCGTGATTGATATGATTTTACCTAAGCTTACTACATTTTAAAGGTATAAGATAAATCCTATACGCGATAATATATCGTTTTTTATATGTAACTAGTTGTAACTGGCGACTCCGTACGCGGCAATTTAAAAAGAACTTAATAAGTAGCCTATGTGTTCTAGATCGTGTCCTATATCTATGCCAAATTTCAGCAAGATCCATCTAGCTATTCTAAAGATAAGTTCAAAAAAACATCCATCCATCCATCCATCCGTCCATCCATCCATCTAAACATTCGCATTTATAATATTAGTAAGATCAACTATTTGCAGCAAAGTAAATTATTTAGATTGTATCAGTACTCAGATTCAGATATAGATGATGTGTTACATATTAGATATTTACTTCCTAGATATAGAGGTGACAACGACTAATTTTAGATGTTATTTCGTAATTGAACTCATGCCAAAATGCTTCTGTGCGTTATAGAAGAAGGCTACAAATGCTAAAGCGAATTGTGATTAGTACTGTCATAGAAGTAAACAGTTAAAGATGTTAATTAATCTATTTATTTATATTATTTTATAATAATAATTTTGTCTTTCTCTTAATTAAGGGTTTTCTGTTAAATATAATAAAGATAGCTCATTTTATAGCATATCTACCATATTAAGTGAGTAATGTCATTCCAAGCTGATTTCAGTTATATTTAAAATATTTCCTAGAGGTACCCTTTTTTCTAAATTTAATCTCATTTTCATACATATCTCTTCTTGCGAATGCCGATTTGTCAGGAAACATGGTGTAAAAAATGTTTGTGATTGTTACTTACAGCTTCAGCTTCCTTGTATGCGGCAGTGAGTTCCTCTCGCTCGTTCTCAAGACGGCGCAGCTCGATTTCGAGCTCGTGAAGACGGCGGGTCAACTCCGTGAGATTAGCGCGGGCGTCGTGCAAGTCATCTACAGAACAAAAAGACATCAATCAATTAGCAATAGCAAGATTGGCAAAGTATCTGAGTGCAGCTAATATTTTCCTTAAACCTTGAAGATCTAGCCTTTTCATCGTAAATTTTACGACCAATAGTTAAAAGTATCGAAAGTGCTTAATAAAATAGACAACAATAGTTATTTTACAGCCATTTCGGACATTAAAAACCGTTTAATTATCTTTACTTACCACCCAGTTTCTTGTTCTCGCGGCCAAGGGCATCCTTCTGCTCGCGGGTCTTGTCAAGTTCGTGGGAGATGCGTTGGATCTCAGTCTGCTTGATGCGGAGGTCACGCTGAGTCTGCTCGTACAACTGTACGGTTTCCTCAAGGCGCGACTTAATTTCAATGTTCACCCTCTCGAGTTGTTCCGTTCTCTTCTGGAGCTCCCGAGCTGTTCCGTTGGCCTTTTCGAGATCAATAATGAGCACTTCAACCTAAAATAAAATTTGGTGTCAATGGTACGGTATTTGAAAATCCAATTTTATCCCATTTACATTAATTTATATAATGATTTACCTCGCTCTGCAAACGAGACTTCTGTTTCTCAATGCTGCTGATCTTAGCAATAAGAGTTTCAATGTGTTCCTCCTGTTCCTGGATGCGGGCAGAGTATTTGCGGCGGATTTCTTCAATCTCCTCAGCCCTGGCAGCAGCCTCGGCCTCGAACTTTGATCGCCAGTGCTGGACTTCACCGTTGGCCTTGACCAATTGACGTTCCAGATCCAAGCGGGCTTCGGATTCTTCTTCCAATTGCACGCGGACGGATTCCAGGTCAATCTCAACCTGTAGAGATAAATAGTAAAAATTGTAAAATAGTTTACTAAATTTACTGAAATTTGTTTTTGTTTTTGGTAGATCTTTATTTACCTGGTGCAGGTTGGCCTCAAGCAGAGAACGCCTCCTCTCTTCATCTTCGAGTCTGCGGCGGGAGTCTTCGAGCTGGCTCACCACTTGGCTCTTGAGGTACACGACGTTTTCAATGTTCACCTGGAAATAAAAAAATATTACTTTTCTGGGCTCATCTTAATTCATGTAACTTATTATTTAAAAACTTGTTTGGTATCATTATTTTACCTTAAGATCCTGAACTTCCTTAATAAGTTCAACATTTTCCTGAGACAAGCGCTGCTTGTGAGAGGTGATGTCGACGATTGTGCGGTTAAGTTCTTCAATCTTGATGTGAAGCTCGCTTATGGTGATTTCCAGCTTTTCTACTGTTTTCGAGTATGTGATCTTCTCCTTGGTGATATTTTCTACTTGGGCCAACAGTTCGTAAACTTCAGCCTGGAACTTGGATTTTTCCTTCTCGGCCCTGGAGACAAAGATATATATGACGAATAATAGAAAGAAATATTTTAATGAAATCGCAAACTCCACAGTACATTAAAATTGTTTATCATATTTCGCTCATCTACATTCGCAAATAATATGAGTTCGCATTGCAAAAACTTAAAGTTACATCGTAAATACACAACGTGATATAAACGACTCACGCATATTTAACAAAAGCGATTTTCCTCACCTGGCTTTGCTTTTGGTAAGCTGGTCGATTTGGTCCTGGAAGTCGACCACGATCTCTTGGTGCTTCTTCTTAAGCAGGTGGGCGGTTTCCTCGGATTCCAGGTGGACATCTTCCAGTAATTTGCGAAGCTTGGTAAGTTCAGTATCACGTTTTCTGTTGATCTCGAACTGAAACATCAACAAATGATTTCAAATGTCGTCCCCATAATATATTTTTATTGGGAACGCATTTGATTATATCATAACTTAAGACATAATTGTCAAATTCTTTTTTTTACTTTATTGATTTTGCAGCAGTATCTTAAGGTTCGTTAATTAAATTTCAAATATGAAAAAGTAGTATCTAGAACCTTGTACTTAAATTGCCTTTTAAAACAATAACATATTGCATCCTGTAAAATAAAACATACAGACAATAACGCACAGCTTTTGAAAAAACAAATCGCAACTGCTTGTGTTAAAAATCGCAAAGCAAATAATGAGACATAATATTTAAAACATGTTTAAAAATATATCGCTGATAAATCTTCATTTCCTTTCGGGATCTCCAATTACTATTTTCTTACATGACGCTTTCCGCGTGGTTTATTTAGTTTTGTTAATTGACTTTCAAAGCTTTTGTATAATTATTAATCATTATCTTGTTATGACTTCTTGTGTTCACCCGTATTAAGATTCTTGTACACATTCTTTTGTTTATTCCGAAATAGAATCTGTTTGTATATAGGCAACTATTTATTTGTAAGCAATTTGTAAAATTTTATCCAGCGTCATTTGTTTTTTTCTCTTAATTTTCGAATTCGGAATTTGTTGATATAATTTCATTTAGAATCTTCATACTTGTATCATCATTTTCTCATAGTTAATTAAATAAAATAAAAATCTTTGATTTACCTGACTCTCGGCTCCGCCTTCAGCTTCCTCCAGCCTTTCGGAAAGTTGAATAACTTGCACGCTCAAATCTGCCTTCTCTCTCTCGATCTACAATAAAACATATGCATGTTAAAAATTCTCAATCAAATTTTAAGTTCCATTAAAGTACTGAAATTGTTAAAATGAAGGAGAAGTGACAATGACCAAAACTATGAAGCCAATGTTTGTAGGTAGATGTAAAAAAACTGTGAAATTTGAAGGTGCCTAAACAATAAAAAAATCAAAGTTAAACATAGCACTGCAAAACATCTAAGATTTTGAAGACATGGTTGATTATTTTTTTTTTGTTATTTAAGTGAAAGTAATTAATTGTAGAAATGACTGAAGGCCTCTTTCAGATGTAAAGGTACATTTAAAAAAGAAAAAAATCATAAAAAGACCTATAAATGTGTATAAGCTTCATTGTTATAAGTAAAGTAGAATTATGCAATTAACTTGTCTGAGGGAAACGTCCTTCACGTATTTCAGTATTGTACTTCGGTCTATATTAAGAGTGAATCCGTATCTCACGGTAGCTGTGACTAAGTCGGATATTTTCGCCACTAACAGCACGATCTATTATTATATTTCAATATTGTGGCATTCTCAACGGCAACGAGCATCATTTGGCCCAGTTTCAAGAGTGAGACCGGAGAGCAAGAAGTCGTTTCAAAGAATGCTTTCGCTATGTGCCTAAATATATCGCGGATCTCCAACGACCGAGGAGTCACCGCTACCCCGGCGGACCGATCGGCCGTGCGCTCACTACATTTATACTAATTATATTATAATGTCACACGCTATTTTCCTTTCCCTATTCGAAGCAAAAAAAATTAGAAAAATGCGAACTTTTGTACTTTTTTAAGAAAGATACTGGAAGCAAAGATAATGGAAGCTTCATACATACGTAAATGTTAATGTTGCCAAATGCTTTTATTCATATAAATTTGACAAAATAGAGCTTTACTTGGAAGATTTCTATAAGACATTGCACTTAAATAACAGTAAAAACTAATCTGATTGGAAAAAAAAATATTTTGCAAACAACAAAAATCACCTTTTCATTAAACTTATCCTATTTATTTATAAATCAAAATAATTACTAAATTTTTATTAACTATTAATTTTTTACGAGATATATTTTTTATGAAATAAAAATGTAAAAGACATTAAAGTAGTTGAGATGCACAGGGGCGGCGCATTATGAAATTTTCACAAATAGGGTGCTTATGGAAAGCGATAAATCGAGGGCGGCGGTATTAATAGAGGT